CTCGCCACAACAGACCTGGCTGCACATCAGCAATGGGTGTTGCGGCTCTTTGCACGCCCTGACCTACCTGTGAGCACCCACAGACCCAGCAGGGGCTACAAAGCACTCTCAAAAACATATCGGGGAGTGGGGGGGGGGAAGGCAAATCTTGCTGACATGATGAGCCTGCTGAGAGATAACATGCAAGAAGAAAGGGAAATGTAGTAGGATACCAACATGTACCCTTGCAGATGAGAAAGCCTCCGTGCCCCTCCAGTACAGCTGAGCACTCAGCAGCCTGCGATCTAGCCACGTTTCCTCTCTTTCGCTCACTCCCTCCTTCGTTTCCTCTCTTTAGCTCACTCCCTCCCTCATGCTTTTTTCCCACTGTTGCTCACTCTCTCTCCGCCCTCTCATTCTGGGATATTGGCGCTGCCGCAAGCGTCAGCTCCCTTCCCTCCTTTGACATCCAACACCATCCAACAACACTTTCCTGCCGAGTTCAGGCAGACGCTGCCATTACCAGCGTGCAGCTCCGCATGTCTCGCAGCCCAGGAGGAAGGGTAGGAGCAGCTTTCAGCAGGGTGAGGAGCCAGCACAACTGCAGGCTGCTGCTAATCGCATGTAGGAAAGTCCGATGCAGGAAGCTGCTCACAGGAAACCTCACCATTGGGACACAAGGGTGGATCACACAGCCGTGGGACTTGGGATCATTTGCGCAGAGCAAGAGGCACCCCTCAGCAAAGCCCTCAGAAATAAGGAGGGAGACCAGAGGGCCTGCCCCCTCCATCCTCAGCTGTTCAAATTTTAGGGGGTACAGACTGAAGTTCCTGCAGGGCATCTGAAAAGTGTGTTTTGTGCTCAGTATGTATGCTGTCCGACAGCAACAGAGCTATCGGTGCTGCCTGCTCTCCCTGAACTCAAGCAGAAGTTCGATGGCTTGTGTGTGGTGGGCAGGTCAGCTGGCTCACTGCTAGCTCAGACATCATGCTTTCTTTTCGGCTGGGCACACGGTGCCCAGAGCTCAGCCATGGGTAGCACTAGGATCCTGACAGAACCTCCTCTCCCTGCTGGGACGAAGCCCTGGGCCAGACCCTCATGATTCAAAGCCCTGGGGGAGGAAGCTAGTTCACAGGGAGGCCAGGGCAGGACCACCTTGCTGTGCCCCTGAGGAAGAAGCCCCCATCTGCAGATTAGTCTTAGGTTGTGGGGGGTCCAGTGGAGCTCATGGCTCTGAGAAGAGGGAAAGCTCAGTGAGCCAGGAGGTACCAGGACATGCAGAGTTGCAGAGAGTGTAGGTCCCAAAGCAGGAACCTGCCCACAGCCACCTTCCCAGGCCAGCCTGTGGCAAGCAGTACACAGGCAATGGGTCTGGGCAGCGGGGCACACAGCATGAGCATCCTTCTACCAAGACCCACGAGGAGCCTCTCTATGGGAGACTGTGCTGTCCCAGCTTTAGCTCTGCCAGCACAGCTCTGGTTTCTCCATCCAGACCTGCATCCCATGTGGCCCCCATGTCCTTTTAAGCCCAGGACACCATCCTGTGCGCTGCCCATGGGGACACTGATCCCTCCCAAGCCTGGCTGCATTAAAGCCCTTTTGTGTTTATAAACTCTGACCCACTGCAAGCCTTTGGGATCAGCCTTTAATCTGCCACTGGTAGCACAGGTCACTGCAGGGATTGTTCTTTGTGCTTCTGGGGCAGGACTGCTCAGGCCAAGGGGCCCGAGACTGGGACAGCTCTTCCTTCCCTCCCCACTTCCGAGGAGCAAGGGTTTGAGTGGAAGGAGC